AATGAAAATTGAAGCTTATACCTAATTAAGGTTTTATACACACCAGTTCCCCCAGTAAATGCAAATTTTAACAAAATTAGACATGTCATATGTTGAAAATGCTCATGGCAAACAATCATTTTGCATTCCTGTTATTCCTGCAAATAAAATTGTTTTATACTGTAAGCTGGAGGCGAGTGTAACTTATTTTTGTAATAAAGTTTTTATTTTTTTTATGTGTCATTAATATAAATGTGTGTTAGTACAGAGATCTTCTGGTTAAAAACTTAGAATCGCACACATTTCAGTATGTTTACTTGTATTTACATAATTTTTAGACTAGTGGTTGCCAATAGCCTGTATGTTTCACATTAATGATTTTTTTTTTTGTTATCTTAATAAACCATTTTAGTATGTTGTATGTCAATTACTGGGATAGCTGGGACATGAAGTGTAATTTAAAATTGTCAAGTATTCATTGGAATATGTAAATGTGCCTTGCCAGTTTTGAACTTTAGACAAAGTAAGTGAATGATGGTGAAATGACTAGTCGATGCTTAAGAGATATTTGCTACCACAGTATCATATACTGCCCTTGCTAAAGTACCTTTTTTTTTTTTCCTGAAATTTGAGCAGAAGAATATACAGTTGCATTAGCTTCTGAATTTTAAAATATAGTGATAGGATATTAGGCTTATGGAAAGTGGGTTTGCTAATTGTAGCCTTAAGTATAATTTTGAATTTCAATGTAATCCTTGGTGCTGGCACTCCCAGTGCCAAGGAGTTTAAATGCTCCCTTCAAAGAGGTTGCCATGCCTACTGGCACTTTTACTGTCATATGGTTTTATAAGGAACACTGTCAAGGTGTGTAAACCAATTTTGAACTTGTTACAAAAGGAAAAAAAAAAGAAATAACTGGGGGCCAGAGGAGTGGGGAGGTCCTCAGATTTCGTATTCTTGAAGCCTCTCCATTGCTGAAAAATAAAAAAATGCTTGTGGGATCACAAGTGCTGGTGACCAGCTCTTAGTCTGGAAATTGAGGGGTGAGGAGGGAGGGGGAAAGTATTTATGGAATTACAACAGTTGACGCAAGTGCATAAAAACATTGATATTAAAGCACTACATGTGTTGAAATTGTGGATAATATCCTTAATTTCAGCTCTGGTTTAAGGAAAAAAAAAGCATGGGGGACTATAGGAAAAAATGTCAAATTTGACAGGAAACTTTGTTTTTAATGGGTTGCAAGCAATGGTGAGTGAGCAAAATACCAAGATCTTGACAGTGTTCCCTCTAATTATGAACTCAAGCCATTATAACTTTTAAAATTAAATATGATTTGCACTGTTCTGATATTGGTGCAGTTTTTTAGCAAAATGATCAGAAAACAAAATTGCATGTGGTGATTAATGGTTGTGGGGGGGAAAATCAAAAAAAAAATGTTACTTGGAAAGCTTTAAATTTGGTTTTGTAATGAGAAGCTCTTCAATATTAAGTATGGAAACATTGCTGAGAATGGGCAAGTGCATATACACACCATCAGTTGGGTTGCACTGGGTGTTGGTAAACTTGAAATGTTTGACAGCAGCAAGGCTCCTGCTGCGGGGAGTGCTTTGGTGACAAAGGAGCATAAAATGCACAATTCCTTTGGCGTGTTGAAGGCAAGTGCTGACTTAAACGCGTTCTGCTGCCCGTGACCGTTTGCACCGTAGGTTTTCTCTGCTGACACTGCCCGGCAAGGACTGAGCGGAGCGTAGCCCGTAGCGCCACGTCGGTCCGTAAGCCGTTCCGGAGCTCGAAGCCTGGCTGAATTTCATACGAAATCGGGAACTTCTGCTGCTTAACACTTCTGGTTTATAAACACTCCAATACACAGCTTTTTAAATTATACTTTTGTTTTAACATTCATTTTTGTTGTTTAATGGGATTTCACGTAGGACATACAGCTGTGAGTTATTTTTTTTAATGGACGGCTATTGTTATGACCCAAAGTTTTAAGTCTTCCGTTGTAGTGTTTGGAGGAAGGCTGTTGTTGTAGGTATACTAGGAACAACTTTGAGTATATTAAGAATTTCTGAATTTCTGCATCATACATCTCTCAGATTATCTAAGTATCATCCTAAAATCTAAAAGAGTAGCTGTTTCTGGCAGGGGTGGGAGTATGATAAAATCTAAAGCAAGCTTAGCTTCTTCTCAAGGTAGTTTTCCAAAGTTAATATTCAGGATAGAAATGTTATTTTTGGCTGCAACTTCTTTCCCTTTGTGCCTTTGATAGTTCTTGCAGAAGCTTCGTATGTTCAGCCTCACCGCTCTGTTGGCGCTTCTGTAAACCAGCGAGGGGAGACTTTTATACAAGGGCATAAACATTTGGCTTTTAATTATTGTTTAAATAGCATGTGCTGAAGTTGATATATTCCGTGAAAATAGGAGTGTTACTCCCTCACTTGCATTAGTGACAGCTTAGTAGAAACTTCCAGTTGTTCAAAACGCAGCAGCAAGCATCAGCAGTCGGTGCTGGGGGAGA